TTCTCACTTTATTTTTAAAGTTATATTTTTAACAGACTTAGACAATCAAATCCCATATAAAAACCATAACGCTTCCATATGAATATCGTTCTTGACTGTCTTTATATCGATGAAATTATATTTATGAGATCTTCAATTCTAATTTACATTGTTTTCGCTAATAATCAACCGATCTAAAATTCGATTTTTGTTTTTGCACTACTACATTGAAACTTTGAGAAATCATATATTTATCATATGAAGGCAGATTTAGGCGTTCTCTATATACATGCTCTCGCTTTTACGATTTGTACAACTTTCGTTTAGATTTCTTAGGCTAATAAGCAACCTATCTCTAATTCACTTTTTATGACATGCATAATTGTGTTGATTTGGTCATGGAAGTTTGAAGAAGCATAAATTCTTCATACGATGTCAGTTTAATGTGCTCCTTATATCCCCGAGATAGTCATTATGACTAATACATCTTTAGCTAAGATTATTTACTATATCTAAAATGTATAACCCAAATGTGTGGACATTAGAATTATCTGTCTCTTAATATGATCACGTCCCGAATTCATTAGCAAAAAAGGACTTGATAATGATCCCGCGAGTCATATTTCTATCCTAAGAAATAACTGTAACTCTTATGTCTTTCCAAAAAGGTATCAAACTCTTGGACTTCTTAGCTACTGGCGGTGCTCAAACTTGCACCCACTCTTTATCCTTTTTGGACCTTTACCTTAACCTTTGTGTTATAAACTTGACCTTCATTAGAGAATACTATTCCTTCTCAAGTTGTGTCATAGACTCATTAAGGTCCTTACTTTGGTTTTAGTAATGGTCCGAAGGGTCACACTCTAGTGACCTTCTTGTTCATAATACAACAAATTTTCAACGAACTAGTCACTTATTTTTAAGAGTACATACTATTACAAAAGTAATCTTCCTTCATGTTCTAATGTGATATAATCTCTTCATAGCAGGTAGAATTTCTAGCTAAGAGTTGCACTTCTTCAAACTTCTTTCTAGAGTCGGTTACTGCACCAAACAAGGTTCTCTAGATTAATTAAGTCACTTATGAAAATCCTATATTATTCAGACTCAATGACCACTAGGGTTTGAATGAAAGTCATTTTCTTAGTCATCATGGAAACAAAGGTAATGACGGAAACGAACAAAACATATTCAACTACTAGTGTCTCAGTAACCTTGTGATACATCCTAATCCAAGCGCGAGTCATGTGCTTCCACTAGTATACACATCGACTGCCTTTCATACCTACTCATACTCTTCCAAAAAATTTCCTCGTAGTCCCTAAGTCACCATACCAGAAAATCACATTGCTCATTGAACGATATAACGTAATTAGGGATTGTATAACTTCTTGAAAATGATTACACAGCTACCTTCGAGTTCATCCTGCTCCATAACTCTTATATTAGGCCACATAATATAATATTATCTATATAAGGTGACCACTTCTATTGATTTCCTGGAGCAACATCTGCTTCCTCCTTTACAGCTCCAAGAATCATCTGAAATGCTCGTGCCTTTAGCCTTGGTTGCGTGTTTGGATATGCAACTTCCTTTTTCATTGGACAGTCCTTTAAAATATGCCCATTACCTTCGCATTCGTAACAATTCTTATTGTTGAACATACAATCCTTGGAATAATGACCAGTCCTTCCACTTCTCACACCACATAGCTTCATTGTTACCCCCACACTTATTGTATTTAGGGCCAGACTTTGAAAATTTACTCTTCTTATCAGATTTTGAGGATCCTTCATTCTTCCTCTTCTCTCCGAATTCAGCTTGGTCGGCGATCATCCCTTTGATTATTTCTTCAAGAGATTTTCCAACCCAGACAGATTCTTCCAAGATAGTTGTGACAACCCATAGAATACATCACCAACCACCATTAATATTTAACAATAGGACGTAAGAATGTAATAAGTACATCCTTCTAATCATACGATATAATTTAATATATTCAAATTTTCCTTCCATAATTACGTCAACTGTTAGGCTTAAAAATAAGTTCGCAAAAAGTCTGTCACTTTGAGAGTAGGTTAACATAATTAGACTCTATAGATTACCACACTTAAAAAAATATAAATTTAGTAAGAATTCGACACGGTATGGGTGAGATATCTCATTTATGATAAATAAATATCTACCTTACTTAAAAAGTTATAATGACGAAAACTACAATGAAATTGGTCGAATTTTGGGAAAAAGTCACCAACTAGGAAATCATCGTACTACTTTAAGTAGGAATTATGAGGCAAGGAACGCCTAAAACAGACGTCATATGAGAGTTATGATTTTTATAAACTTATAACAGTAATAAAAACACGTCGAAAAAAGAAAGTCAAAACAAGACAAAATGACCAAAAGGTAAGTTGTAGAGAATGACAAGACCTACACGAATATATAAGAGTCGTTGAGAACAGAGTTTGTATGTGAGAGTTATGGAATTTCAAAGTTGAATTTTTACCATCGCGCACACTGATACCCAATATGTCGAGATACGGGATGCCATGGCACGTTGATTTGAGGACACATGGCAACATCATACTTTTCATGTGTTATTGCGAAGTGCGCACTCCAAAACTTGCAATAAATAATAGGTTTCAATAGCTCATTTCCTTATCCGTCTCTTTAGTTTTCTCTCTATATCGTTCCGCGTGCCACCGCCTACAACATCCCTCGAAGTGTGAACTTGTGATTTCTACCCTACCACAATGTTTTCATAACTCACAAGCGAGTTGACGGCCCCATTCCCTAAACCTTTTCGGGAATACATGTCTAAAATGCAACTTTACATAGTTATTACTAATTGTAGTTAGATAATTATGCTCACAACATTAGGATGATATTATGTCCCGTAGTTACTCTGCCCAAACTCTTTAGTTAATATTTTGCCTAGTTGTCAAGTTAAACCACTATGATAGATAAGATCATACCTAGTTGTCATGCGAGCCGGTTGCCATGAAATGCTAAAACTCATTATTTTAGCTATCCTTTGAAAGCGACAACGACGAAACTAACAGCAACGGTCATCGTCGGTGTGATGATCTGGCGTCGAATTAGAAAGGGTAGTGATTGTGTGTTCAGATCAGCACGAATGGGAAGAGAGTTTGGTATCTATGAAACATTAAATTTGTTTTCTTAATTCAAAACCTAACACCTTAAACAACTGAACTGAAGTTAATTGAAAAATATAAGAGAAATAAAAAATAAAATGTCAATATTATAAATTGTTTGTTATTATAAGAAATATATATAATATTTTTGATAAAACAAAAAATTTAGTGAATCATTATATCATTAATAATTATAAACATTAGAGCATCTTGAATAGTTCTACTATCTTATGACTAAAATAAGTTAGATATCACCATTATTTTAATCTTGATCTGTAAATAAATGAATGCTACAATGGCTAAGCTTATTTACATAGCTTTTTTCTAAATTTAAGATGTATAAAATTTTCTTATTTAATTAGTCTATTTTTAAATACAAATATGAATATATAAATACAAATGTATAGGTTCATTATTTATGTACGTAAAATACGAATTATTATTATGTTATTATAGTTACAAAAATAAAATTAAAACATTAAAAATATTATATTATCGTCATAAAAATTATATTTATAAATAAGATGTTATTAAATAGTTAATATGAATGACTAATTAATAAAGAAATAAAAAAAATATTTAAAACTAAATTATAATTAAAGAGGTAAATTCAAATATGATTAATATATAAGGGGTTAAATGTACAATTTATGAAAGTAAATTCATCACTCAATATATATATAAAAAAAAAAGGTATTCCTATTAACTATATACTTGAATGGTAATAACTAATAAGTAGTCAAGTAGTAAGTGGGTCAAATAAATAAATAAATAAATAAACTATCTATTTTAATGGTAATAAGTGGTCAAGTAAAAAACTGCATAGTAATAAGTTATAAAAAAAACTTTCATTACTCTTTAGAGATACTCTTAGTCACTTGAGAGTATTAAGTGCCATTAATATATTAATTTTTTCAATAGCATATAAAAAAATATAACTAAAAATCATGATATAATGCCACATATATGCCATTATTTTATTTGTAGTGACCATAATCCTTATCATCCAAACATCATTCAGTAGTTGTATCTAAGCTGGGGTTATCTTTCTACCATCCAGCTTGAGGGGATGTTAGAGTCCATGCACACGTGTACAAAGTAAGTTAGTTAGTTAAGTTTGCTAATGTTAGTTATGAAGTTGTTAGAAAGGTAGTTAGAAGATTATTTACATTTGATCTTACTTGTAATGAGCCTTTAACAGAATAACGAGAACTATTCAATTCAGCACTTCATCTCTCTGTTTCTTCAAGTCGAACACAATAAGTGATAGTGGTCTAGAAGATGAATGTGAACATGATGAGAGTCATTCGGCTTTCAAACCTCTTTAATGAATTTGGGACATTGCCATTAGCAGTTCGCAATTTATCCATGGCTCTCATCATTGATAACCTAATATGATTGAGAAAACTTATCCATATGGATCACCAATCTATCTAAAGCATTCAGTTAGTCGTTGGATTGGATTCATGAGAGACCTCCAGAACTTTCACAGCAGGAGCCATGGGCATTTCTTAAACTTTCCAAGTTAAAATTATAAATGATGACAAATGGATTAAAACATTATTAAGGAAAACTTTTGACATGGATAGGTGATGATAGGAAGAAAGTGTTGGAGGATATTTAATTTCTCTAATAAACAAATAAACAAATAAACAAATAAGCAAACGCATCATCTATAATCAGTGATATACATTCAACTGGCCACCAGGTTTCTTTTTTCTACTTATTATTTAATCAAAATTTATAACAGATGGAATTTTCCTAAATTTAAGACTTCGTATTTATACAGGTTTTCGTACATCTGGATACCATTGGTATCTCTGATCTTTGCAGTTGATCTTCTTCCAATTCATTTGCGTTGGCAAATGTTTGTCTGTATATTACTATATTTGGGCATGTCTTTCCTTAATTGCTTTTCATTTAATTTTTACATATGGTACTTCATAATCTTGTTTCATGTTCTTATGATTCACAGTTTCTCAAGCTGGAAAAATCCACTCACGATTGAATCTAAAGCTTCTTCTTCAATTTCCGTGTTGTACTTCGAAGGGTTTAATTTAATATCATCCATTCATCTTCGAAAGCTAAGCAGAATTTTTCATCTTGATATGAATAGATTTTCATTAATATTACAAACTTCATCTCATTAGTTAAGATAAGCTTTTATATTGTAGATTGATACCAACTATCGTCGTTGGTCAAAATTTGGATCCTTATGAGGTAGCAAAAGTAAAACATGAGTCTTTTCAATTATTCTTTTCACACTATCACAAGTCACAACTTGGACAAAACGAAAGCAATGACATCAACTCATAACCTTTATAAATATAAACTTCATTATAATCAGTCCATACTTACTTAGATTCAAGCAAAACTTGAAAAGCTACATTTTTTGCGTTCATTCGTTACAGATTACATATTGTTACAAGATGAATGACGAATTAATCTTGCTGGATTGTTGGGCAAGTTCATATGGAATGAGGGTCAAGATAGCACTTGCAGAAAAAGGGCTTGAGTACGAGTGTCGTGAAGAAAACTTTCAAGAAAAGAGTCATTTGTTACTAAAATCTAACCCAATTCATAAAACAATCCCTGTTTTGGTTCACAACGGAAACCCCATTTGTGAGTCTCTCAACATTGTTCGCTACATTGATGAATTTTGGCCCCACAAATCTCCATTGCTTCCTAGTGACCCTTACAAAAGGTCACAAAACTTGTTTTGGGCAGACTATATCGACAAAAAGGTCCTCATTCTTCCCCTATCTTGTTTAAACACTTAAGTTTAATTTGATTTCATTGGTTAGATGTTTTTATGTTAAATTTTAAGGAATATTTTTTAAAATGTTAGGTTTGAAAGCTTAAAAGCAAATTGTAATATTTAATTGATAAAGTAAACGAAATAATACATGAGTATTTTTCTATGATATCATTGTGTAGAAATCTTCAAATAATAGAACAAAATTACAACTTAAGTCGTTAAACTTTAAAAAAACAATCAATGATACATACAAAAAAATATATAAACCTCGGTTATTAATATAATACAAAAGCCTCTTGTTTTAACACAAGCTATTTGGGTGCAGATTTATAGCATTGGGAAAAGAGTATGGAGGGGAAAAGGTGATGAAGATCAAGAAATAGCAAAGAGAGAATTCATAGAATGCTTGAAAAAGTTGGAGGATGAATTGGGAAATAAACCATATTTCGGGGGTGAAAATGTAGGTTTTGTGGATGTAGCACTTGTACCCTTTACAAGTTGGTTCTACACCTACGAGGCTCGTGGTAACTTTAGCATCGAGGCTGAGTGCCCTAAGCTTGTGTCATGGGCCAATAGGTGCATTCGCGACAATGAAAGTGTCGCAAAAGCTCTCCCTCACCCTCGCAAGATCTATGACTTTGCTTTGAATCTTTTAAGTAATGACTCAAAATGAAGACAATATAATATGCATTTGTAATATGTGGACTTGGCGAATAAAATGATCATTTGGTTAATGTTTCTAACAAACTTTCTTCATGATATATAATTATTGCTTAAATTTTTCGTATGATTAGTATCTAACAATAATCGTCATTATTATTTCATTATATAATTATCAGGGCCGGCCCAAAGGCAGGACGAACTGGGCCACTGCCCAGGGCATCACATCATATAGGGGCATCACTTTTCAACAAGTTGCTACTGGTGTTGAAATTATTTTTGGCCCAATCTTGTCAATACCTGGATCACGAATGCAAATGCAGCTTTTGGAGGCGGGGAAAAGGAGTAAAAGGCGGCAAATAAAAAAATTCAGAGGGAATATAAGCGCGTTAAATAAAAATTGAAGATGAGGAGACAAAATTTCCGATCTGCTACAACGATAAACACTAAACAGGACCTACTGGGACACTGTTCTTACTGCCCTTAGCGATTGATGTCATTGCAATGGTAACTTATCATACGCCTTTACCTGCATCTGCGTCTTCGTCTTTGCCTCTTTGGCTTTAGGTATAGATCAAAATCTCAATCTCGATCTCATGACCTCTATTATCTGGTATTTTGTATCTAAGATCTCATCCTCTAAATCCTCAATTCTCATGGTTAAGCACTTACTCTTTGTTGGTTTGTTCATTGGCTTTGTAGAAAAAAAAAATCGTAATTTCCTTAATTGTTTCTGCTTTTTCTCCACAAAATTTAGGGAATATTTTATTTCTATTTTGATAAATTTGTACGGTTTGTGTTTTGCAATTATTGGTTTCTATCCATATCATCATGTAATCATTATTTATCAAATGTTAACTGAATATTGACTAATATTTACTTTATCAAATTTTTAGTGAAGTAGTTCTTGTTTTGCTTAATGAGTAATTTATGATATAATAACAAAAAGGAACTCTTTTTAGTTCTTTAATGTCAATACTAATTTGATTATTGTTTGAAACTGATATTTGTTGAAGAAATGCATAATTATACATAAGTGATTAAGTGGACAAAGATTTCATTTAGAAATTTTAACTTCTGTTTTATGAATTTGCAGTTTTGTGATTAAGTTTTACTAAAGTATCATTTATATTCTAATTTTTGCTTTTTGTTCATTTGTCAAATCATTTGTTTCAAAAGTTCAAATGTTTTTATTAGCATCTTGAAACAAAATTAATGGATTTATTTATTAAGCTATAGATTTAATAGGGCATGTTGCTGTTAGAAACACATAAAGGAGAAATCATAGTCATCTATGTAGACTACAATGACTCAAAAAATAATCGAGGAAGATTGATTTTTTTTCAACGGTAAGGAAAATATTATATACAAAAGAGAAGCCAGTGGGAGTCTGGCAAGTACAAACAGACGAGATACAAAACAGAAGAATAGCAACAAAACCAATTGGGGAGCACCAGAACAGAAACCAACTGAGGAGCACCGGAACAGAGAGAAAGATGCAAAGAAGTTTTGAGGCAACACCAAAAATAGCAACAAACTTTAAAGTCCACCTAGAAACAACAACCAACTTGCAAAATAAAGGAGAAAGCTAATCTAAAATCCATCATGAGGCAACAACCATGTACTCAATCAGTTCGGCATGTAACCATATCCCACACAAAGTTGTTTTAGGTAGTCATTGCATGTTTAGTTGTATGGTTATAGAATTTATAAATTATAAAAGTGCTACATTTTTATTTTATAAATTTATATTTTATTTGAGTTCTCTTCAATTATACATACGGGCATATTTATGTCTCTTTGCCTGGGGCATTGAAAACGTATGGACCGGCCCTGATAATTATAAATGAAACATTTTTCCTTTTACCATATTCATTTGAAACTCTCATGCATTTTTCCTTTCACTACATTCATTTGAAACTCCCATGACTTTTCACTTTCTTTCTAATAATGTTTATAAATTGGTTAATAAGATTAAATAAATATTAAACCTAAAGTGTAATCATATATAAACTAAATTTCAATATTAAAAGAATATTTTTACTTCTACTTATTAAGTTATGTTTTTAAACTTTTAACATATTATACTTAATTTATGTGTTTTAATATATTGTTAGATGTAAACCATTATCATTTTAAAACTACAACTTTTGAACAATTTGTATAAAATACTTCAATTATTAATTTAAATATAACATTACAGGGTCAACTTAAATATAAATTTTAGTTGAACGTAAACAACCTAAAGAATAATTTATAAATAGTTAAAAGTGATAAGTTGTAGAGTATTTCTAATAATAATTATCATTATCATAAAGAAAGTATTTTTCCTTTCACCATATTTATTTGAAACTCTCATAACTTTTCACTTTCTTTATAATAATCATTATAACTTGGTTAATAATGTTAAATAAATACCAAAACTAAAATGTATTCATATATAATCTAAAATTCAATATTAAAAAATATATTTACTTCTACATATAAAGTTATGTTTTTTACTTTTAACATATTATACTTAATATATTAATTTTAATATATTATTGGATGTAAACCATTATCATTTTACAACTATAACTTTTGAATAATTTGTAAAAAATATTTAAATTATTTAGAGTAAATTATGCAATTCGTCCCTTGTGCAAGTGCTAAAAAGCACGTTTAGTCCCTATTTTCAAAAATTAACTCGGATCGTCCCTCGTATCGTTAAAATTTGCACGTTTCGTCCCTAAAATCATTTACCAAACATAAAATGTCTATTTTGCCCTTTTCTATTTATTTTTGATTTATTTTTAGATTATTATTATTATTATTTATATTTAAAAAAATCATTAAATAAATGGCCCCATCTCATATACCCACTTCTTCTTCTTCTTCGTATCTCCTGTAAATCACCACCTCTCTTCCTCACAAGTATTGAGGTACTATCACTCTCAGTTCTTCTCCATCTCCGGTGAAAGAATACCATTATCGTCAACACTTACATGCCACCATCGTTGGAGCTACAAACACACACAGAAAAAACCATCGTTGTCGCCACCGCACACCACCATCATCGTCTCCTGCTGCCCTGCTCACCATCACTGCAAGCTCCCTCTCTACCTCTCTCAGTTACATTACACCACCTTCGATAACTCTCTCTCATTCGTCATTCTTCTTCAACACCTGCTCTCCTCTCTCACTGTGTCTTATCTCCGATCTGCAAGCTTCGACGGGCCTTTCTGTGCTGCCACCAACATGATCTTCTTCTCTTTCGACATCCATTATACCACCACCGTCTTTCCAGTCAAGTTTCCCCCTTAATGGATTTTCATTTTTGAAATCTCAAATAGGTTAGAAAAGAAAGAACCATACACCCCCTTCTTCTTCGATTTCAAATGGTTCGGTCTCGATTTATGAAAATTCCCCTTCTGTGAGATAACGAACCGGCAGGATTGGTGGTGGTGAATGATTTAGGGATACGATATTGGTGGTGGTGAATGATAAAGAAGTGCAGCATAGGGTTTCGGATACGATTGAAGGGCGTGAATCAGGTGATTAAAAAAAGGTAAATCGGTGATGTGAAAAGTCGTTGCTTTGATCAACTGAAGTGGGTTTGGAGTTGGACTTGAATCAAGTGCTCAAATGGAAATTGTGGGTTAAAAAGATTTGGTTTTACATCAAATAGGATCATCTGGGTTTCGTTTAATGGTGAAAATTTTTGCTTTTGATGATGGGGTTGGTTGTTGTAAGGGCGTTATCGTCACCTGTGCACTTCCATCGCATTCCTTGTGGTGCTTGGGATGAAAGTCGATTTCAATGGGTTTAGGGTTTGACCGGTGGTGGTGTTGTTTCGTGTTTGTCGGAAATGGAGAGTAAGAGGACATGGTGAGAATGAGAGAGATGAAGTTGGGGAAGGGGGTGGGGTGGATATTTGTTTTTGTTTTTTTTAAACCTGAAAATGATAAATAAATAAAATAAAATTGAAAAAGAAATCACTTAAGGGCAAAATGGTCATTTTATGTTTGTAGGGACGACCCGAGTGATAAAATAATGATACAGGGACGATCCGAGTTAATTTTTCAAAATAGGGACTAAACGTGTATTTTGACACCTACACGAGGGATGATTCGTGTAATTTACTCAATTATTTATTTAAATATAATATTACAAGGTCAACTTAAATATAAATTTTAGCTTAACTTAAACAACCCAAAAAGTATTTTGTAAATAGTTAAAAGTGATAAACTATTGTGTCTTTCTAATAATAATTATAATTTGATTAATAAGGTAAAATAAATATCAAACCTAAAGTGTAACCATAAATGAACTAAATTTCAATATTAAAATAATATATTTATTTTTACTTATAAAATTATGACTTTAACTTTTAACATATTATACTTAATTTATTAAATTTAATATGTTGTTGTATGTAAACCACTATCGGTTTAAAGTTATAACTCTTGAATAGTTTAGACAAATTACTTAAATTATTAATTGAAATATAACATTACAGTGCCAATTTAAATATAAATTTCAGTTCCACTTAAAAAATTCACTTAATATTTTATGAATAGTTAAAAGTGATAAATTATAGTGTTAAATGAAAAAACTAAGTTGTAATCTCAATTTAACTAAAATATTTCCTAAAGTTTTCAAATAAGTAGCTTAAAATAACTTAAAATAACAATAGATAAAAATAACTCTATATAAATGATTATATTGTTACCTTTGAAATCAAAAAATAATGTTTGATGTTTTAGATAATTATAATGATAAAAATTAAAACGTTAAAGAAATAAATTTTAAATTAACAATAACAAAAAAATATAAATCACATTAAACCATATATTATATTTAATTTTATTATTTAGTAACTTGCAGGTAAAAGTTATTCAAACGATTGAGATTATGCAGTTATAATATATATATATATATATATATATATATATATATATATATATATATAATATATATTATCATATAATTCAAAATAATCAATATATTATATCAATTTAGTATATGAATTATTATATCAAATTTAACAAAAATCTTATTGTTATATTAAAAAAAAAAAAAAAAAAAAAAAAAAAAAAAAAAAAAAAAAAAAAAAAAAAAAACATATATTTGTAAAGATTTCAACTATATAGGTCTTTCTGCGTAACACACGGACATTCACCTAGTCATACTATACTATAAAGGAAGCATTTTTCATTTCACCACATTCATTTGAAACCCCCATGTATCTTTCGTTTCACTACATTCATTTGAAACTTTCATGACTGTTCAATTTCTTTCTAATAATAATTATAAGTTGGTTAATAAGGTTAAATAAATATTAAATATAAAGTGTAATCATATATAAACTAAATTTTAATATTAAAATAATATATATACTTCTACTTATAAAGTTATGTTTTGTAACTTTAACATATTATACTTAATTTATTAGTTTTAATATATTGTTGGATGTAAAGCATTATCAATTTAAAGATACAATTTTGGAACAATTTGTATAAAATTTAAATTATTAATTTGAACATAACATCACATGGTCAACTTAAATATAAATTTTAGTTTAACTTAAACAACCCAAAGAATATTTTGTAAATAGTTAAAAGTGATTAATTGTAGTGTCTTTCTAATAATGATTATAAGTTGGTTAATAAGGTTAAATAAATATCAAACCTAAAGTGTAATCATAAATATACCAACTTTCAATTTTAAAATAATATCTTTACTTCTACTTATAAAGTTATGTCTTTAACTTTTAACATATTATACTTAATTTATCATATTTAATATGTTGTTGTATGTAAACCATTATTTGTTTAAAGCTACAACTTTTGAACAGTTTTGACAAAATACTTAAATTGTTAATTTAAATATAACGTTACAATGTCAATGTAAATATAAATTTCAGTTCTATTTAAAAAACCAAAGAATATTTTGTAAGTAGTTAAAAGTTATAAATTGTAGTGATAAATTCAAAAACTAAATTGTAATTTTAATTTAACTAAAATATTTCCAAAAGATATTTTTATAATTGTTAAAAGTTTTCAAATAAGTAGTTTAAAATAACATACAATAAAAATTGCTAAAAATAAATCTATATAAATGATTATATTGTTACATTTAAAATCAAAATAAGAAAGTTTTATGTTTTAATAATTATAATGATAGAAATTAGAATATTAATCAAATAAATAAATTAAACATTTAATTAACAATAACAACAACTATAGATAACATTAAACAATATATTATATTTAATTTTATTAATGTGTAACTCACCGATAGAAATCATTCAAACGATTGAGATTATGCAGTTATCAGTTATAATAGATGTATATATTATCATATAAATCAAAAGAGTCAATATATTATATCAATCATCATCATTATCATTATATATCATATTATATCATATCATACTATATTATAAAGGAAGTATTTTTTTTTTCTTTCACCATATTCATTTGAAACTCCCATGCATTTTTGGCCTTTCATCACATTCATTTGAAACTCTCATGACTTTTCAATTTCTTTCTAATAATGATTATAAGTTGGCTAATAAGATTAAATAGATATCAAACCTAAAGTGTATTCATATATAAACTAAATTTCAATATTAAAAGAATATCTTTAGCTCTACGTATAAATGTATGTTTTTTAGTTTTTTTTACATATTATACTTAATTTATTAGTTTTAATATATTGTTGGATGTAAATCATGATCATTTTAAAGCCACAACTTTTGAATAATTTGTATAAATTATTTAAATTATAAACTTAAATATAACATTATAGGATCAACTTAAATATAAATTTTAGCTTAACTTATACAATGCAAATAATATTTTGTAAATAGTAAAAATTGATAGATTGTAGTGTCTTTCTAATAATGATTACAATTTGGTTAATAAGGTTAAATAAATACCAAACCTAAAGTTTAATCACAAATAAACTAAATTTCAATATTAAAATAATATATTTACTTCTACTAATAAAATTATGTTTTTTAACATTTAACATATTATACTTAACTTATTAGATTTAATATGTTGTTGTATGTAAAGAGTTATCAACTTGAAGTTACAACTTTGGAACAATTTGGAATGGCTTAATGCACTTCGTAAAGTGTGGAAAGCTAAATCCAAGATAGTCGGGACCTCAGAGATTCTTACGAGAATCGATCCTATACCTCAGAGACTAGATCTACTCCGCGAACTCAGTAACATACATTTTACCCTTCGCGTCTCGATCTTGAAACCGTACCTTTCCGTTAGGACTCTCGTAATTCCACTCGACGAGATCGAGATTAACGAGATCCTCGCCTTCGTATTAGAACTGTAGTGACCCTAGACCGATAGGTCAAGCGCGGATGAAGCAACATCGTCGCCAGTTAGTGAAGGTTCGTTGGGATACCAACCGAGGACCCGATTTCACTTAGGAGCGCGAGAACCAATCGATTAGGAAGTTTCCCACCTCATGACTCGTTCACTCATACCTACTTCCTTAAGTAAATTCTAATTTTGGGACGAAATTCCCTTTAACAAGGGGATGATGTGACAACTCGAAATTTCCATTCTATACAAACCATATTAAGTCAATAGAAGATAGAACAGTTACAGTTAAGTTCCAGACTCTTGGGTATAAGTTTGACAGTTTTTCAGGATTTACACTTATGGAGATATCAGGAGAGTGGATGCACTAGGGTTTTGTGCAACACGGTTATTCCAAAACTCTGTGATATTAGATGTAACATCCCAAAAATACAGGCCAAAAATTTCATTTTTAAATACGTCATTATAAAACCAACAGTGTGATAAAACATCTGTAATACCATGTCATGTCAAAACCGAGTAGGAATAATCAAACGCTTTATCATAAAACAATATCAGAGTGTAATCCCAAAGATCTCATGTGCGGAAAACCATAGTGTGATGCGCTGCGATCAAGCCGGCTCCTTTCCTTTAAACACGAAGTACCTGAAACCAAAACTGAAAACCGTAAGCACGAAGCTTAGTGAGTTACCCCATCATACCACATACCATACAATCATATAATGAACAGCTAGGAGATACGGGCCTCGCCCAGGCTCATGGAGGTACGGGCCTCACCCACACTCCGCTAGCTAGGAGATACGGGCCTTGCCCACACTCCACTATCTCTGAGATACGGGCATCGCCCACACTCAGCCACTAAACCATAGCATACAAGTATATGCAATCATATACTAAACAGCTAGGAGATACG